TGAGAGAGAGAGAGAGCACGAGAGGGAAGAGGGTCAGAGGGAGAAGCAGACGCCCCGCTGAGCAGGGAGCCCGATGTGGGACTCGATCCCGGGACTCCAGGACCATGACCTGAGCCGAAGGCAGTCACCTAACCAACTGAGCCACCCAGGCGCCCTGGTGAGGGGCATTTTAAAGGAAGGAGAAGGGAATGGGGAGAGGGGAGAAGTGGGGGCTCAGGAGAGTCAGAAAGGTGAAGAATGACAGAAAGCAGGAAGGGGGCTGGCCCATGTGAAGCTCACCTGGGTTGGTTAACTGGTACTTATGGACGTTAGCCTTCCGCACCCGTGTCAGCTCCAGACCCTGTGTCAGGCTGTCAGCCAACACAGACGCTGTCCACACCATGGTCAGGTTTCATCACGTTATGTCAGGCTGTCCTGACCTCACTCCTCACCCCTGCTGGGCCGCCCTGGACTAATTTGTTAGGCAGAGGAACGATGTGTCTAGGGCACTTGCCCTCTCTGGATCTTGTAACCAGATGAAGCTGGGTTTCAGTCCGGTTTGCCAGTGGGCACAGGCTCTCTAGCATTTTGTTCTTTGAAGGGACGGGGGATGTTTCTGAGCAAGACCAGAGCGTATGCGGGCACAAAGGGAAGTTTTCATTTCACAAAATAGGCATTTGCTGAAGTCCAAAAACTGGGCCTTGTTATTGCTGTAGACAAAATGAATTCTTATTAATAAGGGAGGGCAGCAACATCAAACTGCTTGAGCTGCAAACCCCAAGATGTGCAATGTTTCAGGACACCACACAGATAGAGAGCAAGTGATGACGGTCTCATCTTGTGTGCCTGGGCCTAGCACGATGTTGGAATCGTTCGGTCATATTTATTTTTATGTTGGGAGGAGAGTAGAGTAGCCGATGCCTAGGATAAGCTGTCATTGGGACGAGGAAGACAGATTGAGAAAAAAAGTCTTGGCCAGACTAGTCCTTCGAACTGTTTTTAAAGCTTTCCTATGTCCGCAGGGTACAAGGACTCACCAGTGACATTTGTGTGCACTTTTCTCTTTCTCTACAAAACTTCGTGTAAAGCAGAACACTGGGAGAGCCTGGGACTGACCTCCTCACTGAAGGGAAGAGGGACCAGCCTGGGAGCTGGGACTAAGGGGCAGTCAGCGGCCCGAGGAAGAAGATGGCATGCGCCTTCCTATAGGAGGCCGGTCCCGCCCTACACCCCGCGTGCATCTCTTTTGTGCCATATATTGTTTGTACCAGGTAGCAGGTCTGAATTTTATAAATGTAGGTTTGTTTGTCTCCACTCCAAATTCTTTGCTTTATAAATGATTGCTACGTTAACCAATAAACACACACAAGAAAATAAATTTTATTCTAAGATTTTCTGAAAGAGCTTTTCCCTTGTTTTCAGCTTTCACTCCTCTGTGTCGCAGGTGTGTGGATCGGTGGAAAACCTGAGAAGGTTTCTGTACTTTAAGGGAGCCCATTTTGGAGGAAACTGTACTAGTCAGGGCCGAAGAGAAATCAAACTTGTTTCCAGAAGCAACTAAAAGTGACAGATGAGGAAAAAAACCTAAGAGTCCGCTGAAGGAAAGGAGAGAAACACATGCCCACAGGGGTGGTCCGGAAACAAGTACGAGCCTCTGCCCTGATGGGCAAACCCCGTGATCCTCGCTGCTGAGAGCCTGGGGTTGGCTGTGTCATTGCCGGAGATGGGGAAAGGAGAGATCCAGTCTCTCAGTCTCAACACCAGATGGGATAAGGAAGGGAATTTGTAGGTTTAGATAATTCTATGTTCTGAAAAACAAAGGAAATTAAAGAAGAATTGGGTCCTTTACCTTCTCAGCCATTTCTTCCCTAACTGGTCTCCCACACCACCACAGGCCATTACGTGCACTGAGGCACACGGTGATTGAACACACACACACACACACACACACACACACGTATTGACTGTGTACAGGATGCGGTTGTTGTGTGTTAAAGACATTACAAAGTAATTTGTGTCATGGTTCCTGCGCGTCCGGAGTCTACAGTCAGAGGGGTGGAGGGAAGTGTTGTAAATGAACCAAGGGTGGAGGGGGGGCGTGTGGAGGGAGGAACTAGGGGAGGTGTTGGAGGTGCCCTGAGGGCAGGACGTGGTCTTGAGCCAGCTGCGAAAGGGCAGGAGTGGCCCTCACGCATCTCCGGTCATCCACCCCCCTGGGCTCCAGGCCCACGTTCCTCCCTTACCCTCAGCCTCCTCGGGAACCTGCACTCGTGTGTGTTCTTTAGCAGAGTCCATTTTTTTCCTTTCAGCTAGATTCTTCCCCCAGGTTTGAATCATGCTTGCTTTAAGCTCCTTTCTTGGTCCACTCCTTTTTGAAACACACGCCTCTCTTCTCTCTCTGAGCACCATATTCTCTTGGTTTTCCTTCTCTCTTTCTAGTTTCCTCTTTTTTTCCTTTTCCTAAAAAGGCTAATGATCCTCCAGGCTGGCCATTCAGTGTTCAGAGTTCTGTAAGCCTCTTTCACAGGCTTTCCCTCCTTACGCCATCCTGTCACCCAGGGCAGCCTCCACCATGCTAAGCCTTTCAATCACCACCTGTATCTAGAAGCTTCCTAGAGTTACACATGAAGCCCAGATCTCCCCCGTGTCTGCTTTCCTTCCTGTCACCTTCACTTGGGTGTGCTCTCTGTCCCACAGTCATCTCCATCTGTCCAGTAGCAAACCACAACCCAGGAGTCACCCCACACACCTGCCACCCGTTCGGTATCCGAGTCTTGTCAGGTGTATCTCCTACAGCGAATAATCCGTTTACCCCTCACCCATGTTCCCCTTTCTATTTCCTTTCCCACAGTCATCATCCACATGTGTGTGTGTGTCATCCACTCTCCTGAGATGTTGTCCTCCCTGAAGCTGGGCCTGACTTTGGTCTCTGCCGGGAACCCATGTTATGTGTTCATTAATACTGATTTAGTGCTCGATGCTGTCACTTTGTTTTACGGTCCCGATCCTGCCCACGTGGGGGATTGATGAAAGCGGACACACGGCACGCACTCTGCAGACTGTGGAGTGGGGTCAAGCCAGCGTGGGTCTCGCACACACACTTTAGGAAGAACTGGTAAATGAGGTGACCGTGGAGTGAGGCTCCCTGAAGGCAGGCGGGAGTCCAGCAGCCAGAAGAGCCAAGCAAGGGGGTCCTGACCAGCTGAGGCTGCAGGAACAGATGTTCGAGGGCAGAGGAAGGACCCTGGACGACGTCTGTTCCCTAAGGTGCGAGGGTTCTACATGGATCCACAGACCAGATGCGGGGCAGAGGTCACGACAGCCAGAAAGAAGGTAGTTGGGAAAAGCGGCGTCTGGGGGACCCCTGAGCACTACGTGCCTGACAGAGCAGCTCTGACCCCAGCACGAGCATCCACAGAAAGCAAGTTATCTGGGGGGGCTCCAGGTTTCCTACCCCAGTGTCACCAGTCGCAAGCATGAGCATTTCTCTGTGTATCGTGGATTCAGTTCTCATCGTTCTTCCCTCCTTGGTATTTTTTCTCCTGGGCGTCTTGCTTAGGCCGAGCCCCAGAATGGCCCTGTGTCCATCCTTCCTTGATGTGAGGGCAGCTCGACCTGCTCTGACCCCCTGGCCTCGGGCTTTGGATTGTATACACTGTGGCTTCCATTGTTTGAAGTTCTCTTTGGAAGAGAGCTCTCGGGGTTCATCATCTGGTTCTTTGGACACAATTCCTCTTGTGATCCTCTGTCCTCACTCCCATGGTTCTGGCTTCCTTTTTTGCTTTGGTGAGAAATTGCCCTCTGTCCCCTGATGCTTTTACCAGGATAACTAAAGGAAAAGGGTTTCTGTGTTCAGCACTTCTAACAACAAATGTGTGGGTTCTCCACACCAGGCAGTGCTCTCATTCTCTGGGGGGCACCTGCTGGGTGTCCTATAATATAAGTCAATTCTGACACTAATACCTGGAATTAGTGCAGACCCCATAGGTTAAGGGCTTCGTCTCACAAGTGGCCCCCACCCAGACACCAAAGTAGTGGGTACCTGAGGTACCCACACTTCTGTTTGACTTAGCTACAAAGTTGGGGGTTCCCATGACCCCCCATATTTGATAATTTGCTAAAATGATTCACAGAACTCAGGAAAACAGTTTGCTAACTATTACTACTGCTTTATTATAAAGGATATAACTTAGGAACAGCCAAAAGGAAAAGATGCCCAGGGCAAGGGATGTGGGAAGGGACGCAGAGCTTCCCTGCCCTCTCTGGGTCACCACTGTCCCAGGACCTCCCTATGCTCCCCAAGGCAGAAGCTCTTGGAACTCTGTCATTTCAAGTTTTTATAGAGGCTTTATTGCATAGATATGATGGAGTAAATGGCAACTGATGAATAACTCAATCTCCAGCCCCTCTCCTCTTCCTGGAGGTGGGATGGTAGAGCTGGAATTCCAACCTTCCACTCATGCCTTGGTCTTTCTGGAGACCAGCCCCCATCCTGAAGCCATGGGTAGCCCCCAGCCGCCAGTCATCTCAATAGAATACCCAAGGCACTCTCATCACTCCAGAAATTCCAACGTCTCAGAAGCTCTTGTGTCGGGAACCAGGGACTGAGTCCAAATATTATGACAAAAGGTGCTCCTATCATCTCCACCCCTCAAGAAATCTGAGATTTCACTAATCTGAAATTCTGGAGCTCTGTTCCAGAAAGTGGGGGCAGAGACCAAATATATATTTCTTATTAAGTCACAATAATAGTGGGCAGAGTGGACAACACCTGGAAATTCAGACACACCTATGCTTTCCGGAGCTCACAGTTAAAAACTGGCCTTCCCCAACCCGCACCCACCACTGTAACCTCTGCAGGCAGAACCTTCAGTATTCCACAGCCAAGCTCTCTGAGAAGATACTGGAAACAAAGTCAATGCACATTAAATGGCTAACCAGTCAAGCAGGTACTAAGAGGGAACGTCCATGAGGGCACACGATGAACGGCTAAACATTGGGATCTGAGGCATCCAGTTTGCTCAGAGCTGAGTGACGGTCTGCTCTGTAGCCCAGTCCTGGACCTTTGCTTGGCTGAAGATGAGGTAGAAGACCAAGCCTGACATGTTAATAGAAACTGAAATCAAGAAGACATTTCTCCAGCCAAACTCAGAATCCTGGAAGCAGGAAATTACAAAGTGTTAATGGTCTCTTGGCTCTTGCCCCCCCCCCTCTATATTCAGAAAGGTCTGGAGCATGTCCAGCTTCCCAGCCCCTGCTCCAGCCTCTGTGGCCTTCCTGGTGGTTCCTGGAATACGCAGCTCATTTCCTGGGCCCTGGCCTTCCCCTCCGCCGGAATAGTCCTCCTACCAATAGCCATTTGTCTCCCTCCCTTGTCTGCATCCAGTCCTTACTAAATGTTACCTTTCCAGTGAGTCCTTCCAAGACCACCCTATTTAAACTTGAAATCCCACCCCCTCCTCTGTGCCCTGCCCTCCTCTCCTGCTTTATTCTTCTCTTTGCACTTTGCCACCATTCAGTATACTCTATATTTTACTGATTTCACTAGTTTTCCATCAGTTTCTTTCCTACAATATAAGCTTCACCAGGCAGGGACTTTTGTTTGTTTTATCCACTTAAACCGCATGGCACATGCTAAAGTGGAATTAACGAATGGATGAATGAAGGGATGACAAGGGAAACATTCAGTTTGAGAATTTCCCTATTAAAAGTCATTTCCTGACAGTATTAGTCAGTGACTGGAAGGGAAACCCCTTAATCACGGGCAAACCAGAATGGTTGGCCCCTCCATACTTTGCAAGAAATGCCATGAATATTGCTATAAATTTCAATGATTAGCATGAAAAACTTCTAAAAACCCCTAAAGTGTAAACTCATAAAAATGAACGCTCATCATCGCTCCACACCCAAAACCTGTGGTAATTGCCCGGCATGAGCTGAGCCTGGGGGGAAGTCATGAGGGGGATCAGGACTCTTGAGCTTTAAGTTGAGCCCCGTTGGGGAGGGAACAAAAATAGCTTCAGTCTGACTTCTCCTGAGTAACCTCTATAGGTTTCTCTCATGACTATTTTCGTCAGAGCATTCGACCTCACCTGACTGATCAAGAATCCGGCAACGGTGGAAGAAATGGCTCCTGATAAGTGGCCAAAGACTTGTGATAGTCCCCTGAGAAAGCTGGTGTACCTGAGACAGAAAAGAATATTCCAATATAAGCAAACCATTCACCTCAGCTTACTTGTTGTAACTCTGTGCTTGTCTCTGGGGATGCCGAGAGTCGACCCTGGGTCAAGCCTGAATGAAATGTACTGACTAGTGATTAGTATAATCCCGCCTGAGGGTCTGAGACTCCCAGGGGTCACCTGTATTGACTTGTCAACATTGTTTATACAAAATGTACAGATGGATGGTTTGCATCTAGTTTGTACGTTCTCTGAGTTTCTGCTACGGAACCTGATCTTGCAGCCTTGTTTTTGGGTAAAAAAGACCCCTTGCTGGATGAGTTGTTGGCTCCCTTGAGACCAGGGCATCTCCCATGGGTCATGGCGCTTGGTTATCTGAAGATGGAGCATGTTCTACTGACCGTGAAAGGATCCTGGGAGCTACATTTGGAAGTCCCAGTCCTCTTTGATTCTACCTCTATCAGAGATCAGTGTTTCTCTTGCTCTCCTGTTAGTCAAGCTTTACCTTTATTAAAGCCTTAAGTGAACCGGCACCGTAGGGTCCTTCACTGATCCAACCCCATGTGACTGCTGCATTCCCGACAGAGATATAGGTGTGAGTCACCTCCTGTCCCCAGTTGAGCTGTGAGTGTGGCCACTGCCTCCCCGTTTTCACCTGGAAAACTGAGTGCACAGTGGTGGACTAGCTTTGGGTCCCTTCCAGGAATTATTTGGATGTAGGGCTGACGCTGACATTTCCTGTGACCTGCAGCACGCATCACCCCCATGGAACTGGGGCATCTGAGTGAGTTTAGGGCTGTGGGACCTGAGCTGAGCTTCTGTGCGGATGTGGTAAAGGGGTCCCTACCTAGGAGCAATATCCAAGAAGTTAATAAGGGCTCCTGTTTGGCAGAAGGTGGTAGTGGCAGAAGATAGCACCAACAAGCCCATACTGGTGCTGATGCTGGATCTGACCCAGTACAGGGACACGAGGACCACAGATGAGACAAGAACCCCTGCAGCAGGAGGACAAACACAGAGGGAATCAAAACCACCCTGAGCTTGCTGCATCCATCCCAGGATCCACCTCAGTCCTTACCGATGGCGGTAGAGAGTTTCCTGATGGTAATGAGTCTGAAGATGTTTCTGGAGTGAAGAAAATCTGCCAGTAGACCGCTAAGGATAGTGCTGATAAAGGCGACACCTAACAGCAGGGCTGACAGGATTCCACTCTGAGGACCAGAGATAAGTCAGGTGCATGCCTCACTTCCCACACCGTGACACACACTGACCCGTGCGTGACTTGTCTACTTGTATAGCTCCTCTCTATATACATATCTCCTTGAATACAAATTTCAGGTTACTGGAATGAGCCAACACAATTTTGGTGCCTGAGAGAAAATATGCATATAGTTCGATTTGGAAAAAAAAAGACCAATGCTCTCTTCATATGTAAAGGTCACCTGGAAATAGATTTCTTAAAAAGAACAAAACCCAGTAGAAAAATAGGCAAAAAACAGGAACAACTTACAGAAAAAGGAAAACAAGGGACTCCTAAACATATTAAAAGGTGTCCAACCTCATAGTAAAAAGAACTACTTTTTCATCGAGCAACAGTTTTTTGACCTGATCTACGGAGATGCCGTGGGAAACTGGGTACTTGCAAATATTATCAGTGCCCGATGGAAAGCAATTTGACAATAGATATAAAAGTTTGTACTGCATTTACCCTGAACTCAGACAGGCAGAAACAGTTGCTCAGATGTGTGGCAGATGAGCAAGGTTTTTTGCTCAGAGATTGGAAACAACCCAAATGTCTCACAGTGTTTCCCATGTACTGATCTGAAAAGATCACAGTCGTGTAATATGCAAAGAATAGCAGTGTACACAGCACATAATGTTTTGTGTAAAAAAAAAGTGACAAAATAAGAAGATATGTTCATGTATGCCTGCGTCCCCATAAAGAAGCAGCAGAAGAATATATAAGAAATGAATAAAAAAAGAGTTATCTGTGGCTGGGAGTGGGCTGGGAGAACAGAACAGACTGGGGACGGGAAAGGGAGGAAGATTTTTCACTCCTATCTTTGGATATAGTTTTAAAAATGTTGAACCCTGGTTTGATCAGCTCAGCCCTTGTATTACAGTGTTATTAAGGAAAATGCAAGGAAAGAAGTGTTGTGTATAATCCCCCAAATGGAAAGGCTTTAACTGTCACCGTGTCCCAACTGTTCATATTATGGATGAGTAAACCGAAGCCACCAAGGTTTTGTGACTTAGGGAGAAGCCACCCTGAGACCAACGGGAGTCGGGGCCTCTTGACTCTTCCCAAGCTGAGAAAGCCTGGTCTCAACTGTCTGGTCTCCACTGGTCTCTCCAGTCCTTCTGCCATCCTCCTTGTCCTCAGCCTTGGCCTCTGAGATGGGGAGACCCCTTGGCCTCACAGCAGAGACAAACCGTTCCCAACAGCTGGCCTCTGGGATGTCTGTTCGGACCTCCTGTCCCCTGATGGCCTCACCTGAGATTCTGACTTCGCTGCCTGCTTCTGGCCTCCTCCTTTGTGGAGACCTATGGCCACTCAGCCCTTGGGCTTTCTAATCTCGGTACCTCCAGCCTGTTGCAATGCGTGCGCCCTGGACTCTGACCTCTGCTCCGAAAGTCAGCTCTCTGTTGGCCGGTTAGCAGGGGAGCGCAGTCAACATGAGAGCACTGCTTTTTTAGTCCAAACACAAGAATGTAGCAGTCACTCAGTAACCTTGTGAACTGCCGCTAATAGGCTCTGAAATCTGATACACTCTTTGCCACTTCTAAGACCTCCATCTTGTAGGAATTTTAAGGCTCCTGTCCACCCATCAGGGTACCTGTTCATTCTGTGAAAACTCAGCTGTACACACAGGTGCACTTTTCTCTGGATGCATCATATTTGAATAACGCATTTTTTAGAAGACCATTCTCTGCAAGTTTGGGTTGGAAGTCCTATTTGGGATGTGTTTTCAGGAGATGTTGTTCATGGTCCCTTCCAAGCCTTCTCGAAGGCAGAATTTGTTTTGTTAACACTGTATTGTTAATGCTGCCGGCAGAATATCTTGTTTGCAAATGCTGATTGGATTGAACATAAAAGTTTTGCATCGGTCCCTTAGAAAACGGGACACTCTGTGAATGCCACGCTTCCCTAGAACCGTCCCAGCGTTCCCCAGTAAGCAGTAGGTTGCAGTGAGATGATTCAGAATTCACGCAACCAGGATGCTTTTCCCACACGAAGGTCCTGGGCCTAATCCCCTGATTTTGTGGCTGTAAGTGAGACAGAGGATTATATAATGAGGCATTTAGACAGAAGAACAGACTGGGCTTTCTCTATACTTACATCTCTGAGGTTAGCTTGAAGTACAGAGCTGATGTATGTTGGCATGTATGCCATCAAAATATTAAAAGTCCAGAATCCGGTGAAATAAAAGACTAAAATGCCCCAAAGTGGTAGGGATTTGATCATAGCCTTAATGGGAAGGGACCAGCCTGGTGAACAGTCCTGGAAGAAAGCAGATATCAACACCCCTCCATCAGAAGACAGGAGCTTTGCTCCAGTGCCCTCTTCCGCCCCTGAGACACCCGGACGGACACAGGGAACCGGAAGAGAAGTTCATCAAACGCACCTGTTGAGCCAGTGAACACACGATATATTCCTTCTCACTGGTGCTGATAAATGGGTGATTTATGGGGTCATCATAAGCAAGAGGAAACCAGAGAAGAGAACAGGCACAGCCAATTCCACCTAGAAAGAAGATCCCATTAGCCCCTGACGGGAGTTCTTTCAGTTTGACTCTGCACTGACATGACTCCTGGGGTTGGCAGAATGACCCCAATATTCGACTCCTACCCCATCACTGGTGGAGGGTGCTTTCCCACCACCTGTCTGTACATGATGACAGTGTTGAACAACCCAATGTTACCAGTATTGAGTGGAAATAAAATTCATCTTAAATTTTTCTTTTTCTTTTTTAGAATCTTAAAATCTTTTTTTGAAGCAGAGTGTAGATTTTATTTTTTTAATGAAAATATTATTTAATCTATAGATTTTATATAAACATCACCAATTTTCCCAATACCTTTTTTATTATGTTCAATTAGCCAACATACAGTACATCATTAGCTTTTGATGTAGTGTTCAATGATTCATCAGTTGCGTGTAACGCCCAGCGCTTCTCACCACACTTGCCCTAATCGTAATAGCTCTTTTTACTTTCTAGTTTCTCCTTTACACATTGCTTCACAAATAGAGAGTGAAGAGCTACCACAGAGTATAGAACTACCCTACACCAGGCATTTTGTGAGATTTTGAGAGTATAAGAATACAAAGATACAATTTTGCCATCAAGGAACTTAAAATCAAGTAGGGAAGAATAGATACGAAAATTACCACTGGAGTAGGTTGAGGGTGGAGGATGTCAACAGGTATTTTACTGAGTTCCTTCCTTGCAGATATACATTTGTAGCTTCCCTTTCTGAAAACCATGAGCAGAGTAAGCCTCTCATGTTGCTTGAATAATTTTTGTAACCTGCCCTTTGAAGTTTCCATGACAAAGCCTTTGCAGGTCACCAAGCTGAAGTAATCCATCTTCACCCATTTTTTTGTCTAGTGAATATATTGACCTGATGTTACAGGAACCCTTGATATAAGAGTATTATCCTCTAATGGAAGCACCAGTGGTGCTCAGTGGTCTTACTGGAATCACACAGGGTGCAGATGGGACTTCAGAGAATGTTTTAAAACTCAAACACAAACATTCGCTGCAAGCAGCTGGGCAGACCCCCACCAGGTAAAGGCAAAATTGTGAAGCCATAGAATGCTGCCTCTGGAATACTCCGAGCATCTTTGGGACCTTCTGCAGCATCTCTTAATACATTACATCCACTCTGGAGCTTCACACGGTCTGCCCTGTCTTGCAGGTTCTACTGGTTGATTCTTTGTGCCAATTAGCATTTTGTGATTAGGTCACAGTCTTACAATATTCTGGTTTTAATAATAGGAGAAGTTTAAAATATGAATTAAATAAATAAGCATAACTAAAAATATCATCCCACCAAGATACCATTTTCAACATCTTATGAAAGAAATCCCTCTGGGGTTCGTTGTGTGTTCGGTTTAGAAGCAGAACGGAACATTATGATGCTTTTAAAGTCATTAGGTCATTCTAGCTACGCATCCAGGCTCCTGAGATGTAAATGTCATTTTGCAAGATTCACATGATTAGCTCTGAACATTATCAACTTTAGTTGTATAAATAGTCACATCTATTAGGATTTGGTTAACCATAGATGATTTGCATCACAAAAAGCATGCCCAGCATTCTCTGTCACAAAACAAAATCCTGAGGGGCGCCTGAGTGGCTCAGTTGGTTGAGTGTCTGCCTTTGGCTCAGGTCACGATCCCAGGGTCCTGGGATCAAGTGCCACGTCGGGCTCCCTGCTTGGCGGGGAGTCTGCTTCTCCCTCTGCACCCTCCCCAACCCAGCTCGTGCTCTCTCTTTCTTTCAAATAAATAAAATAAAATAAAACAAAATAAAATAAAAAAAACAAAAAAACCCAAATCCTGAGATTTGAGAAGCCCAAACTCACCAAAGATATAGAAGATAGAAGGCCACCCTTTGGTCTGGCAGAGGAAACCCCCGACGAGCAAAGTAATGAAGGCTCCCATCAATTCCCCTAAACAGAAGATGTGAGGATGTTTTGGGTGAGAGTCATGGCCGTGCTTTCGAGCAGGGAGACAGGGTAGTTGGAGTATAAGGTCTTGCTTGTGCTGATAGGCCATTGCAGAGTACTCTTGCACAGTGCATACAAGTTGACAATTTAGGGCATCAATTACCTGATGAAGCAATGTTGATGAGTTGACTCTTTTCTAGTGGGGGAGCCCATCTGACCCAAATTGAATACTGGCTTGTTAATACCATAACCTGGAAAAAAAAAAAAAAGTTCCATTCCTGGCTATCTGAGGTCGTTTTGTAACCAATATCTCACTTATATTTAAAAGCATCTCGGTACCTGGGCTATGCCTTGAACAATCCGCAGGACAATGAGCGAGAGCACCCCTGCATCAGCGGCCAATGGGATAAAGAGGGCCGAGATTGAGGAAAGAAGCAGGCTGACACCCACCAAATACTTGGCTCCAAAGAGTCCAGCTATGTAGCCAGTAGGGATTGGAGCCAAGAATGAGCCATAGTTGGTAGAGCTGAGAATGATCCCCTGGATTTCAGGACTCCAGTCATACAGAGGAGCCTAGGGGACAAAGAGAATCTCACTGTTCATCTTTGGCCAGAGAGTTGACAGTGTTTATCATGTGAACTTGAGAGGCAAACAAAACAAAACAAAACAAAACAAAAAAAAAAAAACAACTGGCAGTTCTCTCTCCTTCTACTTCTCTCCAGTTCCTCCAGTCTACAAATTTCATGAAAAAAAAAAAAAAAAAAAACCAAAAACCCAAACATATGCCCAACGTACTCTTTCCTTTTACACAGTTTCCCTGGTTACACAATTAACTGACCCATTAAGATGTAAGAGATCCCATAAAGAAAGAAAGGTTATAAAGAAGAAAGCATTATAGGCAAGGTAACTTTAAAAATACGTGAAGGAAGAAAGTAAAAGTAAACATCTGTGAAACTTAGGTTGTGATTTTCATCCTCGTAGGGGAAGAGTGTATGTCCACTAAAGATCGAAGTGGTTTCCTGCATTCTAACTTAGTTCCTGGTTACACTCTTAGACACTAAAGAGAGATATAATCTCCTTAGCTCTACATTATGTTCTCGTGTAGTATAGTTCATTGAACATAGTAGATGCTTAATAAATAACCCTTTAGGTCAAACCATCCTAGTCAGAGAAAGGGTCTGGAGTCTCATTAAACTTACCACTGCCTTAAGTTGCTGTAGAGTTTCATTCCATCCGTCCTGGGAGTTGGCGGAAGGCCTTTCTGTGGAGGCATTGAGTGGGCCAGGCCAGGCTGTGCTGTTCACCATAGCTGGCATGGCGATGCTCAGGCTCATCTTTTGGGAGTTAAGTGAAAAATTGCAGAGATGCACGATGAGCGCCAGCCCATGTCGGACTGAACAAAAGCCTGAGATGAAGGGGCACAGAAAGTCTTATAGTCAGGGTGCTTTTCTCCCATCTTTCTTAAGTCTGGAAGAGGGAGAAGACTGCAGTCTGTGGAGGAGAAATAGAAATAGAGAGCAGACATTCTCTGCAAGTGGCTGGTGGACACCTGTCCCCCCCGGGAGGTGAAGGGGTCAGTAACTTGCTCAGAATTATTACTTGAGCAGAGACTTGAAGAAGGTGTGGAACTGGCCAGAGCAAGTGTTAGGAAGGTTTTCGAGGCAGGGTTCTGGGATGAGCTCATGAGAGTGGGACTGGAAAGAAGTGAAATTGGACAGAAAACTGGCTGGAGGCAGTGGTCGAGGGGCTACGGATAGTAAGGGAGAGGAATTGCTGGAAATGACTCCCAAGGACCCCACCCTATTACCAGGGAACGAGGCAGATTCGCAGGTCAGGGGCTGGGAAGAGATGAGGCACCAAAGGTAGGCTAGGTTGGACTCCAGAAGCATTTCAGCTTCATCTTGATACTGTAATCTGGGCTCGAACGAAATTTGCCAGTGATCCATGAGGGGTCTGGGGTCATCCCTGGACTTGAGTCCAGGTACGGTAGTTTGGCAACAGCTAGAAGGATTGATCGACTGTCCCTCTAGAGAAATTCCAGAAGCGTAATATATGATCCTGTCCTCAAGGCATGTGGGTGCCCCGTTTCCTGGCTCATGCGGGGGGAGCAAACGCAGTTGAAGTGGCCAGGGCTGTCTCCTGTTGTGTGATGGCATGCCTGTCAAGTTCCAGGAGTGGAGACACGGACCCCCACCTTTGGTTTAACTGGCGGGGGGCAGGGCGTTCAGATGAGACTGTCCCCTCTCCCATCCACACGAATTTACGTTGGAGTTTTGATCAGCATCGTATAGATGTGTCAGATGGCATTGCGAGGGATTGCCACACGGAGAGCATTGTCTTCTCCTGGCCAAGAACAGGGGTGGCTCCCTGTGGATTCACGTCTTCTTCTCTGGCCCGAGCTGCATTCTTACAGTTAGTTCTCTTCAGTTAAGTGCCTCACAAGTTTCTTTTTTTAATATTATTATTATTATTATTATTATTATTATTATTTTGATTATTCATTTGAGACACAGAGATACAGAGAGAGAGAGCAGAGAGCATGAGCAGGGGGAGAGGCAGAGGGAGAGGGAGAAGCAGGCTCCCCGCCAAGCAAGGAGCCCGATGTGGGACTCAAACCCAGGACCCTGGGATGATGACCTGACCTGGGCGCTCACCACGCAGGCGCCCCTCATTTTCTTTTTTCTTAATGCACTTTTTTATGTTAGAACAGTTTTAGACTTACAGAATTATTGAGTTCCTTTTTTTTTTTTAGATTTTATTTATTTATTTAAGGGACAGACACAGAGATAGCAAGAGAGAGCACAAGTGGAGTGGGAGAGGGAGAAGCAGGCTTCCCGCGAAGCAGGGAGCCCGATGCGGGGCTCGATCCCAGGACCCTGGGACCATGACCTGAGCCGAAGGCAGACGCTTAATGACTGAGCCACCCAGGTGCCGCTGAAGTATTGAGTTCCTGTGTACCTCACACCCACTTTCCCATTATGAGCATCTTCTGTTACTATGGTACATTTGTCACAATTGATAAACCTACTGCAATGTATGATTATTAGCTAAAGTCCACACTGTGTTCAGACTTCTTAGTTTTCACCTGACGTCTCTCTTCTGTTCCAGAATCCCATTCAGGATAGCATAGTTATCTTTGATTGTTATGTCTCCTTGGGATATTTATGGCTACGACAGTTTCTCAGACTTTCTCTGTTTCTGATGACCTTGATGATTTTGAGGAGTACCAGTCAGACATTTTGTAGAACGTCCCTCAACAACCTGTTTGAAGCAGTGTTTGTCAGTTTTCTCCGCTGTGAAGTTGCTCTTGTTCAGTCCCTTTCCATGCTGGGCTCTGCAAGAAGTCACACGCACAGTTCCCACATAAGGAGTGAGGAACTATGCCCCACCTCCTCAAGGCACTGGATACAGAGACATTTTCTGCTTGGGAGAATCTCACCGAGTTTTTCTAGTGAAACCACCAAGACATAAATTGTTTTTTTTTTAAAGGGTTAACTTTCTGACACCTCTCTTCACTTCTTGCATGTTTTTTTGACGTGTGCAATTTTTCTTAATTCAAATTTATAAACGTTATTTCCATAGACATCATGGACATTATCTGCTTCCCCGTGATTAACACCTTACACGTTTGAAATGCTTCTGTCTCCTTTGTCCCCACGATTACGTGTGCCTAATCTCTCTGCCTGATCAACCTGAGTCAGGAATTATTTTATTGCCGTGAAAGGCATCTGCTGTCCAAGACAGCTCTTGTATATTTTTCATTGCGATTTCCTTCATGATTTGAGTTTACTTTTTTTCTACATTGAGGTTGTCTCTCTTTTTTTTTAAAGATTTATTTATTTATTTATTTGAGAGAGAGAATGAGATAGAGAGAGAGCACATGAGAGGGGGGAGGGTCAGAGGGAGAAGCAGCCTCCCTGCTGAGCAGGGAACCCGATGCGGGACTCGATCCCGGGACTCCAGGATCATGACCTGAGCCGAAGGCAGTCGCTCAACCAACTGAGCCACCCAGGCACCCATCTCTTTTGTTTTTCCACATACTTTCCTTGACGGTATAGACTCAGTGAACTGGATGCTTGATTAAGTTGCTTTCATTTGTTCTTATGCAGTCTCTATTTTCTTCCCTTCTTCATACCCATCATCTTTTGAACCACTTGTCTTGGTCTCCCTCTGCATCTTCCATGACTTTTCTAAGCCTTGGTTCTATCTCACTGATTCGATTTTCTGTAGTGATCATTTCTTTCCTTGCTACCGTTTATTCCATTTTAATTCTGAAGTCATATGTTTTCCTCTTTAGTTTCCTTTCTCCTCTACTTTGGACTCTTCTTGCACATTTTCCTGTCGATTTACTTCCTATACTCTGAGCTTCTTATTATTCTTGAGATCTTAAGTTGGAAATGAAAATATTCTTCAGTTTCCCCAGATAAAAGAAGTGCAGCCATGTAATATGCTGGTTAGCAATCAGACTGCTCTGGTGTGAATCCAGATGACACCTCTTTGTGCTTGGATGACTTAAATGAGTTACTTCCTTTCTGCTTGAATTCTGTCTCCTTCAGTGGAGGGGATGCTAGGAGGAGTATCTTCCTTGAAGGAATGTTGTGAAGATTCAGTGAATTAATCCACATAAAGTGCTTAGAACAGTGCCTGGCACCAAACATGCATTTAATATGCCATGATCACTCTCGGATCTAATGCATTCCTTTTCTTTTTCTTTTCTTTGTGCTAGCGTATTTACACATCCATCATGCCCCAGTCTTGGACCATAAAGATCAGTCATTTGTGATTTAGTTCCCATGTGTTGAAACCCTTGCCGTGTGTGGAAATGGGCCACCTTTGCTGACCTGAGGCTGCTGCCATGTGGCGGTGACAGTGTGTGATGGGGGGGGAGATGGCAGCTGGTGGGAGGCAGGAGGAGGCCTTGGAATTCTTTTGCCAGTTCAAGGGAAGTAACTACTCTTCCATTTGAATTTTGCAATGACCTGGTCAATGTTGAGGACCCCAAAATTCCAAGTTAATTTCTGTCATCATACATGTACTGCCTTGGTCTGTGGCACTGGCCCAAGATGCTAAGATGCAGCTCTTCAGAAAGATGAGTAAGCTGTGGATGGGGCAACAGCAGGATGTGGGCCATGTGAGCTTCACCCGCCATATCCCAGACTCCTCTTGCTTGTGGTGAGGTTGCTGGCCTCTAGACACTGCCATTCGGAGCTAGGGAGCGTGAGCCGAGGCTTCACAGTAATGGGTGTCCTCCCTTCCTTCCTATATCACTGTACCATGCTCCAAGGAGGAGGCTTTTGTTAGCTCTTGGCAGCTTCTCTCAACCCAGCAATGAGCCTTAGAATTCATAGTGTGTGGTGGAACAATTCCCTAGTTTTAACCTGGATGGAGATACTTTCTCCAAGCGGTTGATTCCTTGTTTATTTCTGGGACTTTCAGAGAGGGATGTTATTGTAGCCTGGCCTCTGGGTGACATTCTTTCCATGGGCTGGGGTATATTCACCTCCATGTGGGCTTTGGATGGGGAGGAAGGAAGCTGTGCCTGATGCTGTTCATGAATTCTCGCTGCCATCCTTGCCCTTCCAAGTTCTCCACAGAGAGACAAATACCTGGAAGTGACAGCCCTCAATCTATCATGCAGACAGACAGGCTTCCAACCATGAGGGCATTCTGGCAAAGTTTGGAAGGCTGAACGTGGTGAGAAGCCATGATGCTGTGAGGTAGCCGGAGGTCCACGGAGGAGGATCAGTGATGGTGGACATGGGATTTCTGCCTGTGGCTTTTGAAAATCGCCCACTTGGGGCTGCACGTGGTCATCAGAGTGACCCATCCAACCTTACTCCTGGATTTCCCGAAAGGGGCTCATCTGACTTCTGCTTCCCCAGCCTTCCAAAGTCTGTGGAATCTTCCAGTCCCTTATATAAAGCCCCTTTTTTCTTGAAATATCTAGAGTGCCTTCTGTTTTTCTGAGTGAGCCCAGACAGAATCTCACAGGCCTCTGGGAGATAAGGGAATAGGAAGGTCACTGTGGTGGTGTCTGTCCCCACTCTGCCCCATGAACCCTTAACTGAGCCTAATGGGCAGAAACCACTGACCTCTGGCAGAACCTCAAGGTCCAGCTTTTCCCTGGGTCTCCAGGGGTACAGGAGCATAAGCAACTCTATTATGTGGGCCAGGTGACTGGATGTGACATGTAATGGGGGAGGGGCATTTCTCTGTCCCACGGAATAGCTGGATTTGGTTCTGTGAGTCTCTTTAGAAGTGCAGTCATGCCCAGCAAAGATGTCAGTAGCCTCTGGGGACACGGGGACCTAGAGAAAGCCCCAGCAGTGCCCTGAGGGTGTGGGAAGAGGACCCAGGAGTGCCCAGGAAGTGTGGGCCAGAGAGAGATGAGTGGAAATTGATGTCGGCCACCAACGGATGAAGCAACCAGCAGGGTTTATGCATAAGCACTGTGAGAAATACTTGGAGACTCAACAAAAGAACCAGGTGGGACTATGAAGAGTAGCTGGGGCTCTGCCTTATCAGGCGGGACAAGATTTAGCCAAAAAAGGATTATTATTAGCATGATGCCATTTGTAATGACAGGTCAAATGGGTTACTAAGGGATTGGATATAGCTGTAGCTCCTGGAGTGTCAGCAGGGGGCTAAGCAGCATGGTGGGGTGGATGCCCTAGAAGACTGTAGAAGAAACCAGAAAGACCACATATGAGTCCCACCACTGCCGAAAAGGGGGCGGGGGGGGATGACGCTGTGTGAGAGGTGATAATCACAGTTAAAGTTGATAGAGTGTTTCCTGTGTGCCAGGCATTGTTCTAAGTGGTTTACATATTATAACAAATTTAATTCTCATGGAGATGCTGTGAGGTAGGTACTATTATTATCATGTATTTATGAATAAGGAAACCGAGACACACAAAGTTTAAGTAATTTTCCTAAGGTCACCTAGCTCATAAATGGCAAAATCAGGATTGCAAACATGGAAAATTTTATCTATAAGTTCTTTATATTACTGATTTTGAGAGAGAGGATAGGAGAATTTGGCTGATAGACTCTTAACTACTTAGATGTGGATGAGGTCCTCGAGATACAAGAATCAAGCTCTCCCATTCTCCAGATGAGGAAGGTGAGGCAATGGGATTCATTCCAGGTCAAACAGTTCCTAGTTAACTGTAGATTGAGTATTAGAATGCACATCCCCTTATTTCTCCTTTGATGGGTAAGATTAGGAGAATCCTCTAGTCCTTGAGACATGCTCACTTCCGAGCAGACACACTGGCTAAAACGTTGAGGATTGTAAAGCATGCCACCTTAGTTAGTGCTTTACTGTTCAAAGGTGTTATCTTATGAAAAGTCTATTTCCATAAGAGAATTAATGAATCACGTAATTATGAACCATTGAAAGTTTAGGGGAAAATAAGGTGTTCACCAGGTTTTCTTAGGACATATTATAGAAAAGCACCTGGTTGTGATAGAGACAATGTAGAGGAGGAAAAGCGACTTTTGTGACATGGTGGAAAGGAAAAGCCTGTTCTCTTTGAGGCAGGGCAGAGAGACCTAATTGGATGCTCCTGGACTTAGAATCGGAAAACCCGAGACCGGTTTCCATATTTTCTACCTAGCATCTGCTCTGAATTTTTTCATTCATCTATAAATACTGTCGTGATACCTACCTGTCCTATATACCTTCAAGGTTTCTTGCAAGACGTGAAATAATTCTCCATAAAAAAGGCTTTGTAGCTATGTAGAGCCCTTGGCAGTTGGTGGGAGCATCCTGCTCTATATCACCACAAGGGAAGTCGAGGTGACACAGATACCAGTTTTATCCGTAGCCAGTACATGAGTTTACCTTTCCTGGAGGTTTGCACGTGAGCCATGTTTAAACTCCCGTCACTGGAAATAGCTCCCACTCCCTTTGTTTCTGCTCTAGTAGACATTTTGGTGCTTTTCTCCCAGGGACTGGCGTTCACCTACTGAAATGAAAGAATGCAAAAGCAAATACAGGGCGACAAGTGTCCTGTATCACACATGACGCTGCCCCAGTTCTACAAATTAGGAGGAACTATTTGGTGGGAAAAGTGCTAGGTTGGGGTTCAGGAGACCTGATCTGTTGCCCAGACTTATCACTAGACAATTGTGTGACCCTGGGAAGGTCATAGTTGCCCTGGGTCTTAGTCTCTGCTTCTCTGAAATGAATGGTCTGGCCTGGACTGCCTTAATGGGTTGTAATATTCTTTCCAGTTCTGTGTTCCTTTGTCTCTCAACTGATATATGTATCAACTGGATGTTAAAACCTGACAGTCTTCTTTGAAATTTCATCTGGAAGATTCTGATATCTTAAATTACCTGAAAAACTGCGTGTTATAAACATCTAGATATACCAGTTAAAATATGGCAAATATCTTTTTAAATACGTAGCTCCAAAGATAGTAAGAGATATCCCCATGGATGTAATGAAGAGTTTGCAGTATGAACTAACTCTTCAGTGGCCCTGGGACTGGGGTGGGGAGCAGACATCGTTTCAGTGATGCAAGGGTCTTGAGATCTAGGTCCCTAGGGATGAGGGATAAAGCCTTAGACTTCCACCATGACGGGGATTATAATGGAGATCCTATTTTAGAACCAGAGCCCTCAAAGGGGTTCAAAACTGAGTTAAAGAGGCTCTGTCCATTGCAACAGTGGGACAGTGATAATTTACATCGTACTGAGCTCTGGTTTGAAAAGAAAGAGCCTCTCCTTCAAATTCCAAAAATTCGCAACTATGTCATGGGGAGCTAGGGGTTTCAATTCATACTGTTTTTATTGTCTGAGAACTCTCTCTCGGCTGAAAAACTGAGCGAAGAACTGGGCCCAGGCTGATTTCCTTAACACAGATCACATGGAATTACTGAAGATGAAGCTCCACTTAATATGACTTCCAGATCCAAAATTAGAAACCCTCACAGAAGCAACCATCCAAGGCAAGTCCTCAGACTCAACACATAGCAGGAGCAAATTGCTGAGAACTTCCAAGAGTCAGATAAACTGATAAATGCCTCATATAACCATGCTTAAAATAATTGAAGAAATAGAAGGTAGGCTCTAAAACATAAGAAGATACCCAAAAGAACAGGCATATTTAAGAAAGGCAGTACTTGAAATACAAAAGACAAATTTAGGCATTGAAATTAGAAACGAAGTCATTAGTCATTAGACAACTAGCTAATGACTGAATTAGTGAAACAGAAGGTAGAACAAAATTATACAGAATAAAGTAATTTATACAGAATAATTATACAGAATATTAAACAGAATAAGTATATTATACAGATTAAACCTCAGGGACATAATGACATATGGTAGCAAAGTTAGGGGACTTGGAAAATAGAGTTGAAAGGTCTGGTATATGTTGAATAAGACTTCTGGAAAAAGAAAATGAACAGAATTGAGGAGAGGTAGTGCTTTAAGAAATAATGGTTAGGGCTTTTCCAGAATAGATGGAAACAAGATTTCTTAGATTCAGGAATCACAAGGAGTCTGAAGCCAGAGAAATGAAGTTAAAGCTATACCTAGACATAGCATAAGGATCCTGAGGGATACAAAAAGCATGAAACTTATCTGTAACAATACATACCATAAGAGGTTCTTGGTGGGGGGGAGGGGAGTCGAAAGTGATTACAGTATGATACCAGATAAGGGTGCGGTGTTCTTTTTAAACTTCAAGATAATAAAAAAAGACAAAGTATAAGAAAGTGGGTGAAGAGTACATAACTATTAGTACAGTACGTAAACCAGATGAAGAACAGACATGCAGAACGCACCCTGCCTTACTATCAAAGACAGGAACATTAGAAGAACAAGATCTTATTATTTCTTACCTGTCCGCTTCCATAAATATTTGAGAGACTTATCCCTAGTTTAGGCAAAAGTGTGGGGAACTAAGCTATTGTTTGTAGGAGTCAGGGCATCTTTCCATTTGGTATTGCTGCTTCGTGGCGTCTACCAGGGAATAATCTGTACAGACACACAAAAGCATGTCCCAAGACAATCCTTGTAGCAATATTTGTAAAAGTGAAAAATTAGCAGCTAACTAATGGTCATTAATGTTTGAATAGCTAAATAAAGTAAAGTACATATATTTTGGAATACTCTACAGCCATCAAAAAGAACTAATAAAATCTATATACATATTAGAGTTTTAAAAGAAGTATTAAGTGAAAAAAGCTAATTGTCAATTCAAAGGGATACATGCACCCCTATATTTATAGCAGCATTATTTACAATAGCCAAGATATGGAAGCAGCCCAATGTCCATCGATGGATGAATGGATAAAGTAGAGGTGGTATATATATACAATGGAATACTACTCAGCCATCAAAAAGAATGAAATCTTGCCATTTGCAACCACCTGGATGGAGCTAGAGAGTATAATGCTAAGCGAAATAAGTCAGAAAGACAAATACCATATGATTTCATTTGTTATTTAGAACGTAAGAAACAAAACAAACAAGCAAAGGGAAAAGAGAGAGAGCGAGAGGAAGGAAAGAAGGAAGGAAGGGAGGAAGGAAGGAAAGAAGGAAGGGAGGGAGGAAGGAAAGAAGGAAGGAACAGACTCTTAACTACAGAGAACAAACTGATGGTCACCAGAGGGGACGGGGGTGGGGGATGGGAGAAATAGGTGACGGGGGTGCAGCAGGGCACTTGTTGTGATGAGCACCGGGTGATGTGTGGAAGGGTTGAATCACTACATTGCACACCGGCATCTAACATGACACTGTACGTTAACTAACTGGAATTAAAATAAAAATTAAAAAAAAGAAAATAGCAAGTTGTAGAACAGTAAGTACCAAGGTAATAAAATAAGTAAAACATATATACATACAACATTTCATTATGTAGTTTACATGTTTCTAAGTGAGTAGAAAATTATGAAAAGAAAAATCACAACATTAAGACGATGACAGCGCTCCTGTACGTTGTCCTGAGCCCTGGTTTTAAAATTAAGGTACACGGGGCACCTGGGTGGCTCATCTGCCTTTGGCTCAGGTCATGATCTCAGGGTCCTGGGATCGAGCCCCGCATTTGGGTCCTGGGATGGAGCCCCGCATCTGGCTCCCTACTCAGCGGGGAGCCTGCTTCTCCCTCGGCCTGCCGCTCCCCCTGCTTATGCGCTCTCTCTCTCTCAAATAAATAAATAAAATCTTCTAAAAAATATTTAAAACAATAACAAAAAAACTACCCTAAAACCTGTGGCCACAGTGTCTGGGGCATGGGAATCTTTTACCCTAACAGCTTTACAAATTGTGTGATTGTGTGTGTGAGAGAGAGAGAAAGAGAGAAGGGGACTGGTGCGTGACACCGGCCTCAGAATCCACGGGCACCAGGCTGTGCAGAGTTTCGGGTATACAATATAGTGATTCAACAGTTCTATCTGTTACTCAGTGCTCATCACAACAAGTGTACTCTCGATCCCCTTTATCAATTTAGGGAGAAGCTCTACTTTTAGATGAAGTTTGGAGTTTCGTGCTCTTCATCAGACGGGACCTATTCATTACAACATGAGATTATTTGGAAGCTAAGACTAATGAATGGACTTTTATTCTGAGCCGCCCTGGTAACTCTGAGAAGAAATCCGTCAAATGAAGGGATGGGATATTTTGCTGTAAAAATAATTTGCTTATCATGTCTGTCCACATTTAGGGCAGTTAGTTGAACTGAAAGGAGAATATCAGTCACAAGGCTTGAAGTCCCAGCTTTCAGACTAACATTTTTTTTGCCACGGCCATAACTATAAGGACTCTTCTCACCTACCAGTGCCTGAGAGTTCACTGACCACTAGTTCATTCATTGACTGAGTAAATATTTGTTGAACCAGTGAATGGAATGTTATGCTTCCTTAGCTCTTTCTCTTAAAAAAAAATATTTATTTATTTATTTGAGAGAGAGAGAGAAAGAGAGCACGAATGGTAGGGAGGGGCAGAGGGAGAGGGAGAAGCAGACTCCCCGCTGAGCAAGGAGCCCCATGCGGGGCTCGATTCGGGAATACTGGGATCATGACCTGAGCCAAAAGCAGATGTCTTTGCTCTTTCTCTTGCATTTATGACTGAAGTGCTTGGTTCTCATTAAATTGTCCCCCCTCTATACTTACTATTAGAAGCACATGTCAGGTTGTCTGGTAACCAGCACTGATGTCTCACATACTGTCCATGGCTGCATCCCTTGCCCTACATCAGATTTGTCCTGCCCTCATCCTCCACTGCCAACTCCCACTGCCTCGTCAACCCCAGCGAGGCCTCTGGGAGAGGCCAGTATGAAAAGGAAAACGTGAGAATGACATGCTCTGGAGAAAATGAGAGTCACAGTGACGGCCACTAGGTAACTAACAAGAAGAGGGCAACTGCTTTACCTGGTTTGGGAAAGGTCTATTTGAGCTAAATTGGGAATGATGAGAAGAAAGGAGCTCCGAGTAAAAGCCTTCCGGGCAAAGGAACCAGCAAGTGTGCCCAGTGCTAATGCAGAGTGAGTGAGAATGTTGATATGGGAGAGGAGACCAAAGTGGTGGTGAGGGGCCATACCCACAGGCTGGGTAAGGGGACTGGATTCACCTGGCTGCTGGGTGATGCATGATCTCTACGGGGCAAGACTGGGAACCAAGAGAGTCAGGAAGAGGCTGTGGTGGTCACCTAGGCAAGAGTTAATGTATGGGGGAGGCGGGTCATGGTACAAAAGACCAGACTGGGGATCTGCTCTGGAGTGAAAGTCACCAAGAATTGCTAATGAGGTGGGTAGGAGAAGAGAGAATGGGGGAGATCATTGGAGACTTCTAGATTTATGGCTTGTACAAATGAGTAAATGGCGTTATGCTCCATAGAGATGGGAAAGCGAGTGAGAGGGAAGCGGGTTTCCAGAAGAAAAAAGAAGAGTTTCATTCTACGCTGTTGGGTTTGAGTTGCTCGT